ATCAGACAACTTTTTATTGATAAGCAGCGGAATCTACATACTCAACTTCAATTCACTTAACATATTTTATTCAACTAAAACAACTTCAAGACAACAATTATTTCATGTAATCAACTTAAAAATTCAACAACTGAAATAAATATCAACAACTAAACATCAAGCATTCATCCCCCCTGAGTGCTACGTATCAGAGCGACAACACCGACTCGAACTAACAAAGGTAACAACTATCCTTCTTGATTACCTGCACGTTACCAACAGATGGAAATATTCAAATAGAAGGGGTGAGATATCGAATAATATAATAGAATGTATGATAAATAAAACATTAGAATCAGTTCATACATGTTCACCACTTCTCAAATTTGTAACAACATAAACTTAATCAGATCAACCACATAACGACTCAGAATGTAACACAGAATGCAACTCATCTTTATGCAAATGCATGTGGTACCAATGGAGCAGAACTCCCATCTTAAAAATCTGCCAATAAGTAGAGGCATCAACAAGGCATAAGCCTTCTTCGCAGTTTGTCAATCCAGGTCATCACAGAGTATGCAAATGTATATGAATCAATGAATTCACTATCACATACTCACAACAATCATCATCTATCACAAGGCATAAGCCCACATCACCATTATTACCAGTAAATAGAGGTAATTCATCATCATCTAAAATTCCTTGCAACTTCGCATTACCAACAAGGATTCACAGCGACAATCACAACAATACAACAACTCAACATAAATCAACATTAGCCATAAGCCTACCACATCGATCAACGATTCAACATCAACTCAACATAATTCAACTTTGGCCATAGGCCTATAACTTGATATTTCAACAACAACAATTAACACAATATTGGCATAAGCCTACAACTTAATACGTCACAACAATAATATCATATCAACAGTAGTAATTTGACAACAACATCAACAAGAAAACAACATTGTTCATAAGCCTGACAATTCAATACCACATGCAATTCATATTTTTCAGCAAAGTATACAATACACCGCATCAACCAACATATACTACAAACGCTCCGCGAATTTGTTTGGACAATTCGACTATTTCTGGTTAATTAATCTTTCGCTAAATTACCATCATTTTCTACTCTGCACTACTCTTATTAAATCTATACAGTTACTGCTAGTATAGGTATTACCTGTTACTAATATCTCACTGTCAAACTAGTACCATTACTCTCTGTTATTAAAAATACTACTTGTTACCAACATACATTACCTGTTATCCACTTAATAAATTACTATTACTTACTACAATAATCTTCTGCCAATTTATTCTACTAATTACTTCTACCGGTAATTCTCTGCTAAATTATTACATATGTTATTAATATACTACTCTGCTAAATTAATTGAACCATCCTCTGATACTTAGCATCTTTATGCAAATTTAATTTTTGGAACACCATTGTTATTAACTGTGCTGCTACTGCTACTCTAGATACCAACTAAGTGTTAATCTAACAATTACCTCTGCTAGGTACCAACAAATCTACTACCTGGTTTAAATTAATCTAATGGGATACTACTATAATTAATTAAGCTAATTCTGCAACTTATTAAATCCATCTCTTCTAAATATTGATTTCCACAAATTAATCCTACTGATAACTCTGCTATATACTGCTACCAAAAATGTCTCTGCTAATTCATACTAATACTGCTACATGAAGGCTCCACTACAACAGCAAGAAACAAAACAAATAAAATAAAATTGAGATAACATGTGCCCCTTGGCACCATTGTCTTGCCGATCGACATGCTCCCCCTTTCAATATTGTGTTGGTCGGCACCCATGTCATGCCCCTCGGCATGTATGTTTTCCAGCCTCCCAGTTTGTTACTCATTACTAACGTATAATTTTAAGTTTCAGGCCAACCACATAGAACCACACAGCAACGTAACAGCTATATCAACATATAATAATTCCCAACAGCAAATTCATCGATTGATTCACTTCAAATTCCTCAGAAAATCTGATAATGGTAACACCAATTCATAACAACAACAATTACACATACAACAACATTCCCACAATGATAATTTTATACAGACCATTCCCTGCATAATATTTATCATATACCCTTTTATAGAGTCAGAATCCCACCATTACCTTGGATTGGAGATCGCTCTATTTTACCGGTTAAAGTCTCTCGCCCTAGCTTCCAACCTTTGCATCTTGTCTGTAACTTTGCAGCTTCTCACGTACCAAATTCTCCAAGACTTGTTCAATTAACCTAATTCCTTATAATTAGCTTAACCTTATAATTATTACTATTCTTATTGGACCTTACTTTCACACCTCACCTATTACTCCATACAACCAAATAATGAGCCTAACTAATAAACCTTATATTATTCTAATATCTATATTAATATTATTGCTAATATTAATCAACCAATCAATTAAATATCAACCAAATAACAACTTAGCAACTTAAATCAACATTTCTCGATATTTTGCAACTTCAACAATTTCAACATTTTCAACCATTAACCCGTAATTAATTTAATTAAATAATTAATTAAATTAATGGGCATTACATATGACATCCATTGGAGATAATTCCTTTAAAAATGCGAGTTTGTTTTAAGAAAGAATTTATATAAAGTTGAATTGATGTTGAACATTTTATGTTGTGTTAGGTATGTGAATGAGTTGACAAAAAAGGGAAAAGGTGTCCCGACGAAAGACGATTGGAAGCATATCAACTTAATCATTCTATTCTTGAAGTTAATTTATGATGTTACTGTACATATATCATAGTCTTCTTATTTGAAAAGCAATATTTATATGTTTGAGGTCTTGGGTATTGGAAAGAGCATTGTGGATATGTGTGTGTGTGTGAAGATGAACATCTATGTTCAGCATCTCAAAAGATGAAAAAGAAGTATGATAAGTATTGGGGACCTCATGAGAAGCTTAACATGATGTTGTTGATTGTTCTAGTTTTTGACCCTAGACGTAAGGTTAGATTGGTTGATTGGATGGTACGACGATATTATAATAAGATTGATGTTGATGCCTTGAAAGAAACCTTAGAGTCTTGCTTAAAATCTATTTATGAGGAATATTGTGTTGAATTTATGCCTCCTCAAGGTAATCCATATGATTCACAAATTTTTGGTAATGTTAGTCATCCATACGGAACTGCTGAGTTTTATCTTTCAAAAGAGTGTGACAATGCAGATAATGAGTTAACCACTTATCTTGGAGAGAAGTTAGAGCATAACATGGAGATAAATGTTCTCGAGTGGTGGAAAGTAAATTCTGGTCGTTATCCCATCCTTGCAAACATTGCAAGAGACGTGCTTGTTATACCAATAAGCACAATGGCGTCTGAATCTGCATTTAGCACAGGAGAAAGGGTGCTTGATCCATATCGCAGCTCATTAACACCAACAACTGTCGAAGCACTTATATGCACCCGTGATTGACTCAAAGGAACATCTTCATAATTGATTACAAATGAAGATTTTGATATTCTTGAGAGATTTGAGCAAGGTATGATAACTAAGTATATTCGCTAATGTATTATTATATACTTGAGGCATAATGAAATGTATTTATATATTTTATAGAATTACTTTATACAAAAGATGGTGCTAGTTATTCAACCTCTTCAACCTCTGTTGCGCTCGAAGAGGACTTAACGGTAAAGAATTCTAAAGTTTTATATATGCATTTTTTTCCCACTCTTGAGCTACAGTTTCACTTGTGTCAAAGAATTCACCAACTATTTCACTTGTGTCAAATAATAAATTGTGGCTTTGTTGCAAACTTGATGGAAGAGTTCAGACAATTGAGTTTTTATCATTAGAGGGGAGAATCCCGGTGGAAAGATAGGAATGAAATGTCTACCAAAAAATTGTGTTGCTAAAAACAATTTGGTTCTTGATACCCCTATGTAATAAATAAACATTCTGTCAAAGAATTCACCAACTATTTTGCTTGTATCAAATAATGAATTGTGGCTCTGCTACCATAATTTTTTGAGAAATTACTTTACTATATCTTAAGGTCAAATCACACATTATATGTTTTAAAATTGTCAATGACCATAAATTTTGAGAAATGACCAATTTTTTTTTTTAAATTAGTGTTCTTAACATAAAATAATTTTAGAATTTTTTAAAATAAAAAATTATTTTTGATATAAAACTTTATTTTTTTTAAATTGATTTTAAAACTGGTTTTTTATAAAACTAGTTTTGAAATTGATTTTTTAAAGAAAATTAAAAACTGATTTTTAGAAAAATCGGTTTAAAATTAGTTTTTTTTAAAAAAACTTGTTTTTGTGAGAAACCGGTTCAAAATCGAACCGATCCACATGTAAACCGGTTTTAAAAATATAAACTAGTTTGAATAAAGTAATTTTAAGATCCAAACCAAATCATATATATGGTTCAATTTGGTTTGATTATTGATCCATGCACACCCCTAAATATATTCACGAGACACTTGCATCGAGAAATGACCATGTCTTCAAAAATTAAAAGAAATAATTATCACGACTATAAGTATGGTTGCGCATTATCCTAATGTTTAACACTTTGAAATAGTGAATTCATAAACAATTTATTTATGGCATATCATAATAGAAACTATATTTGAACACAAGAAAAAAAACATAGAAACTTCACACAAAACTAATGATTGCAAAAACATATGAACTTAGTTACTAAAAAGACTCTACAATATGTATCAACATATTATATTTACTAATGGATTAGCTTCATTCTCCACTAAATGAAAAGTATTTATGCAGGAAAAAAAGAAAAGAACAGAATGCTCCACAGGTGGTTGTATTTTGAACAATATGCCCACTTTTCTGTCAAACATTGTATTTCATGAAGCATTTACATCATAGTAAGTTGCCAAAAAAAATTTGTATATATGTTGTACATGGTGAAATTATATATGCTATCCAACTTATCTATAAACATCCTCTGCCATGCAACTCACTGATATCTGTTTGACATTTCAGATGCGGCGGGACATCCTTGGTCCTCAAAGATACCCAAATTGGCTGCATATGGGTGTGGAAAAGCATCACCTTCAAAGTCACGATCGATACTGTTCATGAACAGAGAAGAAAAATCCATCCTTGTAAGACTTACCAGCATTTGAACTCCAAAATAAGAAAATAAATAGAAAAATATATTGGCATAGACAGGTTTATAACTTGGGTATCCTATCGCAATCAGAAGAAATCCATCCAATCTGCTGCCTCTCATTGTCGTAAATTACCATTTTATCTTGTAAACAGATGTCTGTTGAGAGTAAAAGGTGGAAAAGTGTATTACCGTCAAAGTACAGGAAAAAAATGTGATTGCTTATATTCATTCTATTGCAATTTGAAATATGCCTCACCTCCTATTATGTTCAGATCTCCGAGTCCTACTTCAGTGCCATCCAGAATCCCCAAGCAAACATTTCCAAGTTTCTGGAAAAAAACAGCAGCGTAAAAAATACAATTTCATATTTTTTTACCTTCACTATAAATGCAGGGAATTTGGTCATAGTCTTAAAAGGTACTCACTGTGACAATGAGATAGGCTTCTGGTGGTATTAGCATCTGCAAATTCTTCCCTTTTTTGAATCTCAACGCTAAGGGCTTGAAATAATTTTTGACATCACTTACAGATTTGAAAGACTTTGCACCCTTCCAACAAATTGGAAGAGACGGATCGTCAGTTGCTCTCGTCAATTCTTTTCCCTTTAATTCATTATTTACCTGAGCCATGGATCGATCACTTGAAGTTAAGTACATATAAAGAAATGTAATTGTTGATTATAAAAATAATATTGAGGCTCCAATGTTTCCAACTTACCAGATCAACAATAGCATGATAAGCTTTGGAATTGAAGTAAGTGTAAGAGCTTCCACTATCGAAAATAAGTTCAAGACTTTTAACAGTGGTAAGCTTTCCATTGAAAAGCAGCTCTGCTGGTCCTAAACTGTAGTGTTTTCTGAAGTAACGATTGTGCGGAAGTTCTCATTAGAGACAACAGATGATACGCGTATGAAACTAAAGCAAATCAGAAGAAAACAAATGATATTTTCTTAAAACTTACTCTGAAGAGCTAGGTAACATGGGTGTCCAAAGAACTCCTGATGTGGGAATGAGATCATCTCCAAAGAATAAAAACCCTCCTCGACCACTTAAGCAATGACCAACTACGTTGCGAATCAGACCTAGAGAATGAAGCTGAGACAAAATACTTGTCCTGCCATTGCCAAGGCCAAGAACTCCTGTGGTAGCAGGTGGAGAGGTAGGACCAGAATACTTTTGATCATATCCACATCTAGCCATGCATCAATGAAAGAAACTCTAATTTCAATTATTCAAGAAGGTTAATAGGAAATTGTAGTAACATTTATCAGTACAATTTAACCATAACTTCCTCACAAACTTAGTAGATGCAATGCAGCCATGATAATCAAAATTCAAAAGGATGGAAACAAAAAACCTCACCCAAAGGCTATCTTAGGGCGTAGCAAAGATCCATTAGTGAATTGAAGAGGGATATAGTCTCGAACAAGAACCCCGAGAGACGATCCATGATCTGCATACTCAACCTCATAGTCACACTGGTCATCCGGAGTATCACAATGATAGTTTGATGTTAAATGCACTCCGGCACACAATTGGTCCACACATTGCACAAGGTTGTTTTTTGGTTTATAGAGTTGCTCACGAGGCTGCATAGTTTGACACCACGCAAATAATTGACGTTAAAGATACATCAGTATTGAGTTGAGAAACGAAGAGGATCTCAACTCGTCAATGAAACCTAATATAAGTTCGACTTTACCTTGGTGCAACCATTACATGGAGCATCACACTGAACCCAAGTGAGGTCACTACCCGAATCAATATCAAGATCATAAAGCTTTGGAGGATAACCAATATTGAGAGACACTGTATAATACCTACATAAACAATAACCAAAGATCATTTTTTTTTCTTCATGGAATCAATATAACAACAATAACCAATTCACTTCAGAAATTCAACAAGAATGTTTCTTTTCATTCAAAAGCTTAAAGATTTGAAATTTACCAAGAATCTAAACCTAAAAACAGAACTAATCAAGAATAAAACTACACATTAAGCACAAATTCAAGTTGATTGGATTCATACCCAAGGGGGTAAACATTTCCGTGAAGACGGAAAACGGCGGAGGAAACAAGGCGGTGGAGCTTATCGGAGTTAAGGGGTTTATTGGCAGCTGAGAAAGAGAGAGGGAAAATGGAAGAAAACAGGAGAAAGAGGAAAAGTGAGAGAAATGGTTTTGATTCTTTGGTGGTTTTGAAATCCATTTTTTGAAGGAGAAATTGAAGTGAAAGAGGGAAAGGGTGAAATGGTTTTAGGAAGAGATTGGACAAGTTTTGGAGACAGAAATGCGTGTTTATCTGGTGGCAGTTGGCATATAGTAGCAGGACCAACTTGATTTAATGCTTCCAAATATTGACAAGGAAAAGTTGAAATTTGGTCAAAATACTAGTCTAAATTCTTGCAAACTCACATGAATTTTAATTTATTAGTCAAAATCATCATTTTTATAACTTTTCATGTGAAAGACCACGGGGCTTTGAAAAAAAAAAAACTTATTTCTAATAACTAATAATTTATAGTCGATAAATAATATGATACGTTAAGTTTCAAGTATTGTATAGTTAGGAAACACACGCATTTGGAAAGTAGAGGGAGAAGCTCCAACTTCTCTCGAGATTTATCTTTTTCCTCCCACCCTCAATTGAGTGATAATGGTGGCTCCCAGTTCTCAGTGTTTTTTCTTCCATCATGTGGTAGTTCTTCCTTCATCTTGTATTGGTTTTCTCCTTCTTTGTGGTGGTTGTATTTTGTTAGTCTTCTCTCCTTCATTCACCAAAATTCTAAGTCTTTTCTCCTATCTCTTCTTTCTTGGAAACGACATAGATGTTTTATCTAAGTCCATTAATTGATGGTTTAAAAATTTTGTGAGATAAAGGTGTTGACGTTGATGATGCATATTTCAGTCAAAATTTTAAGATGCGCGCAATATTATTTTGCATAATCAACGACTTTTCAGTATATAGAAATTTGGCTGGATACGGTGTCAAAGGAAATAAAGTGTGTCCTATATGTGAATTTGATACTTGTTTTCGCCAACTTGAGTTTGGAAAAAAAGACCGTTTACATTGGGCATCAGATATTTCTAAAACTCAATCATCCTTATCATAGATCGCAGAAGACTTTTAATGGAGAGCAGGAGTACGAACGTGCTCCTAAACCTTTAACCGACGATGAAGTTTATCAATGACAAGAGCACTTTAATGTTGTCTTTGGAAAGAATAAAGACAATACCGTTGAGAGAAATATTTAGAAAAAGAGATCGATTTTCTTTGAACTTCCATGTTGGTCTAGTCTTGATGTAAGACATTGCCTTGATGTGATGCGTATGGAGAAAATTGTGTATGATAGTTTGATAGGAACACTTCTAAAAATTTCAGACAAGACTAAAGATAGTAAGAATTTCCGTTTAGATATGGTGGCGATGGGTATTAGACAATAATTGGCTCTAGAAGATAGAGGAAAAAGATCTTTTTTGCCTCCCACACACTCTATCTAAAAAGGAAAAGAAAAGTTTTTGCGAGTGTTTGCAAGGTATTAAAGTTCCCTAAGGTTATTCTTCGAACATCAGGAAACTTATATCAATGAAAGTGAAAGTGTGAAAAACACAAGAAATGGAGGGGGTTTGAATTGAGTTTTAAATAAAAAACTTTTCTTTAAAAATATCCCCTTTAATAGAAAAAGATTTTCTTCAGTTATTGATAATAGAGATAAGATCCAGGAAGTAAATAACAAGGTATGTTTATACTAGTTCACTTGAAAACTATCAAGCTAGTCTAGTCCACCCGCCAATGTGATTTCGTCTTTCTCAACAAGGTCTTAATCCAATAATTAAATAGATTATTACAATACACAAGCTAACTGCAAGTGACTAACATTACAACCTGTAAGACACACTAATCTTAGACTTCTCAAGGATTATGACCAACTGGTCCATTAAGGCAAAATCAAACGACAGTTTAAACAAAGTTTGTTTACAAAAGATATGCTTCTAAACAAGCGGATTAGTAAACAGTATTTCAAGAATTTAGACTTAAGAAATAAGAATGTTATGAACAGTCTTGTAAGAACGTGAATTAGAAGGCACTCCTTTAGTCTTCAAGTCTTTATATAGCCAATAAAATAATATATTCATTGGAGGGTATTTCTGGAACTTCCAGAAAGTTGGCAGCTTGAATCATAGTGGGGGACAAGATCGTACAACGCGATTGTCCTTCATGGTAGTGGAATGAAATCTTTTATTTGTACCGTGTACTATATAAAACGTTATATTCTTATCTTTTGGACTTCAGATGCTTCAGATGAGCATGGGTTTAGAAGTAAGAAAATAGAACTTGGATCATCAGAACTTCATGTCTTTAGAGTCTTCAGAATTTTGTCTTCAGAATATTTAGCACTTAGTCTTCAGAACCCTTTGTAGAACGGGTTATCAGAACTTCAAGTCTTCAGAGTCTTCAGAATCTTCAGCACTTGGTCTTCAGAACCATTTGTCTTAAAAAACATAAGTCTTCAGCATCTAGACTTCGGTCATAACTTTTGTCTTTAGATCTTTAGAACTTGGTTTCTTAGACGTGTATCAGAGTCACAATTTCAAAACCTTTTGAAGCATTTTTCTACTGTTCATCAGAACTTGTGTAGCGCAGAAGCAGAACTTGGTCTCTTCTAATGTCTTGGCAGCGTCTTTCATTAGAAGCAGAACCTGTTTGTTAAATACTCAAAATAAAAAACATTAGGGTACAAAAATTGTTCATACAAATATACTTTTTGTTATCATCAAAACTCAGAGATAAAATTGCAGAACCAAATCTTGTTCTAACAATCTCCCCCTTTTTGATGATGACAAAACTATGTATTTTGATGACACAATTTTGTACATAATCAGAAAAGGTATAATATATAAGAAGGGTAAGAAGTACGTATCCTATATATGAGACACCATGAATCTAAGACTTGATGAAGATCGTATATCCTTACTATGAACCATTTGAGTAGAACTCCCCCTGGTTGCAATAGATCAGATATTGAGATCTTGAAATCTTGATTCTTGAAGCCAATCATGCCAATTGAGATCTTGAAACTTTAGAGTCACAAAGACAAATTCTATATTCTCAATTCAGAGCCTGATTATGAACTTAACCTTCTCAGAGTTTGATTCTAGAAGTTAGACAAAGAACTTTATTTAACACTTTTAGAACTTGATTCCAATCAGAGTTTAAGATTCCTAAAAAAGAAAACAGTTCTAACATAAACAAAAGTTTATCTGGGTTAGAATGCAAGCAGCTCTTTTGAGAGATATTTTCCAAAATTTGATTATCATAATCAAAATATTACTTCCAGTTATTTACTCCCCCTTTTTGTCATAATAAAAAAAAAGGTAATTATGTCTGAAAAATATAAAAACAGAAGCAATAAAAGAAAAGAAAATAATAAGTGAAAAACGAAAATAAAACTTCATTGAATTCAAGAAAGAAAAATATCAGAAGTAAGAAAAACAAAAGAAATAGCTAAATTCCTATGGTTTGTAGCAAAAGGAAAAAATTCCTAAGAGTCTAGGTTCCAGAAGAGGATGGAGTTCGAGCAGGAATCTTTTGTAGAACCAATTGAAGCATGTTTTGAAGATTTTTATTGACAGCCTTCTGTTCATTGATGCTCTGTCTGAATTCTTATTGTTCTTCTCTAATTTCATCAATTGCATTTTACATACGCACAATGACTGGATCAAAAGATGATACAACCAAAGCCTCTTGTCTTGCTTGTTCTGCTTTTTCAGCTTCTTGAGCCAACCTGGCTTCTTCGGCAATTATGGCTTCTTCCTCATCTTTTCTAGATTTTTCTTCTCGAGCTTTGAGCCTGGCTTTATCTTCTTATTTAGGCGCTCTTGCTTCAACTTCTCTTTGCTTTCCAGCAAAAAGTTCAAAGATTCAAATTCTTTCTTTTTCTTCTTGCCTTTTCGTTACCATCTAAACTGCAGCAAGTCTGGATGCTTCAGAAAAGGTCTTCAGCCTTTCAAATTCAGAGGACATCCATTTCTGAAATAGCTTCCAGGAATCATCTAGATCCCGGGGCTTAGTACTAGTACTTTCCTTGTCTCTTAGCTTTGTAGCCTTCTTTCTAGCCTTGTTTTAAAACATGTTAATGCATTCATCCAAGGTTTTTGGAACAGGCTTTTCATAAATAATTAAAGCAAGTTCTGGTGGAGAAGAGTTTAGTTCAGATGTTTGTTCATATAGGTGTTGGTCAACAAGATCAAAAATATGAGAAAGAGTGTGATTCGGAAGTGGGAATTTCAATAGTGTAAGAAATAGTCCTTCCATACATTTCATGGTCAGATGGTGAATGTGGATCCGAGTGATGAGTAGGTGAGTCAAGGTGGATGGATTCTGTGTTGGAGAAAGCAAATTGAAGTAATGTTTGAGAGATAGGTGAGTGAATGGTTTTAGAAACTTGTGAGGGTGTAGTAATTTCGGATATGGGAGTTGTTATGGTTGGGGTGAATGTTTGGATTGGTTCAGAAGGAATGGGAGTAGTGATAGATGGAATGGGGTTAGGAACAGAAACATGTGGAATTGAAGGAATGGTGGTACTAGCAGGGTCAAATGTAAATATGGTGGTGGCTTGTGGTGAAATAGAAATATGTGTGGTTAAAGGGATTGTTGTGGAAACAAGATCAGATACAGGTGTGGTGGTGGTAGGTGGTGGAGCATAAAAGTATGAAAAAGAATATGTTTGTGTAATAGAAGTGGGGGTGGATGATAATGCATCAATAATATTAGAAACAACTGCAGAAATAGGTACAATATCAGAAGACTTACTTGTCGTTTCTGGATACGTAGACAAGAACACATTCTTAGAAGCCTGTGACTTCTTCTTCTTCTTTCCAAGTTCAGAATCTTCTGAACTCTTCTTCCTTTTTCCTCTTGAAAGATCAACAGGAACTAGAGGATCGACTAAGTCATAGTAACTGAAGCAGGACATATTATGCCCTTATTCTGCCATCATCATTATATAAGCAACAATCCCATCTAGATTATCTCCCCTGGTGAACAGAGGGAAGTTGTTCACTGGAAGTCTCCGTGTAGTGATGTTATCAAAAGGAACAGATAGAGGTTTAACGATGATTTCCTCTATTAGCCTCATATTCTTCAAAGTATGTCCATTGAAGGATTCTCCAATGGTAGGAGCCATATCCTCAGCATAGTGAGCTTCT